CCTTGCCAGAGAGCTCATCTTGGCCCACAGAGCAGCTTTGACCTGCTGGCCCACTTGTGGTTAATACCAAACTAGAATACATGCTCATTCAGACACAGAGTGGGCAGGAGAGAGATTTTCCAGTAACAACTTCACTTACCTCCATCCTGCCCACCTGTAGAATCACACCCACATGCTCTCCCTTCCTAGAAGAGAGAGAGAAATGAGGACAAGCCCAGCCCTGGCTGGTTTGGCTCAGTGGATGGAGCATAGGCCTGCAGACTCAAGGGTCCCGGGTTCTATTTCGGTCAAGGGCACATGCCTTGGTTGCAGGCACATATCCCAGTGGGGAGTGTGCAGGAGGCAGCTGATCAATGTTTCTCTCTCATCGATGTTTCTAGCTTTCTGTCTCTCTCCCTTCCTTTCTGAGGAATATCAATAATATATATATATATATATATATATATATATATATATATATATATATTTTAAATAAAAAGAACTGAAACCGGTTTGGCTCAGTGGATAGAGCATCGGCTTGGGGACTGAAGGGTCCCAGGTTCAATTCCGGTCAAGGGCATGTGCCTTGGCTGAGGGCATATCCCCAGTAGGGGGTGTGCAAGGGGCAGCTGATCGATGACTCTCTCATAGATGTTTCTAGCTCTCTCTCTCCCTTCCTCTCTGTACAAAATCAATAAAATATATATTTAAAATAAATAAAAAAGAAAAAGAAAAAAGAAAAGGACAATCCGGACTTCTGGAGAGGTCTGGCTTTCTCTCCACATCACTTCTTTATAGAACTGGGAAGAAAAATGTTTGTGTCCAGTCTAAGAAGGTACCAGGGCTCTAGATAACAATCTTATATGAGTGAGTGTACCCTAGAGGTGCAGGTGGCCCTACCAACTTTGATAGGAGCCTGGTTCTCTGGTCCCATCAGCTCCAAGGTATTTTGTTCCCAGCTGCCACCTGGCTCTACCACTCCCCAGCTCCAGATCCATAGACAAGGGCAGGTCTCAATTGAACCCTTGTCCAGGAAACCCGATGGGCTGCCCAGAGCACATCAGATAAGAGGGGTGTAGCTGGGCCGGTTGAAGCAAAGGTGACTTTATTTACCACCAGCAGCAGGGAGGGGCCATTTAAAGTTCAGTGAGCTCCAGGGAATAGGGGGTGGGCCGGGACGTCAGTGGGTGAGACAGAGGCTGTGCTAAACTGGGAGAGCAAGCTCAAGCCTTGTCTGTACCCCCATCCCACTCTTTGGAGCTAGTCCACTGTCATTCTGGGAGACCCGTGATAACAGTGATGGTTTTTCAAGAGACATCTGAGATGTTCTTTTAGTTGACATCTCCCTAAATTCTAATGCTATTAACTATTTTTTACAAAGTGTTAAACAGCCTGGCTGGAGTGGCTCAGTGGTTGAGCATCAACCTATGAACCAGAAGGTCAAGGTTTGATTCCTGGTTGGGGCACATACCTAGGTTACAGGCTCCATCCTCAGTGGGGTGTGTGTGTGTGTGTGTGTGTGTGAAGGTGTGCAGGAGCAGTGCATGTTTCTCTCTCATCCATATTTCTGTTTCTCTATACCTCTCCCTTTCTCTCTCAAAAAATCAATAAAAACATTTTTTAAAAACAGGTTAAGTGCTTTTTTTAAAGTACATACATTCATAGGCCCTCATTACCTGTGATGCACCTGGGACCACCTGGGTGTGGGGATATGGGGTTTACAACCCGCCCCGAGCGCTCCCCCAAACAAGGAAGGAGACTCTGCATCCAGCACATCAACAGCAGGCTGTCGCCATGGCCACGGTGTCAGGAAGGAGCACCCAGCATGTTCCTGATAGGACCAAGGGCACGCAGTGGGACCTCAGCTTCCCCTGCAAGGATTCAGCTGGAGTCAGCTCTCTCCACCCTCATTCAACTGGTGTCCAATACTCTGTGCCCGGGACTGCAGCCTCTGGACCTTTGCTCAAGGAATTCCCTGTCCCCCTTCCACCCACCCACTTTTTCCTGGTTAACTCGTCTCTCAAGATTCAGACCATCTCTCCCAGGCACGTGTCCAGTGACACTTTCCCTATCCCCTCCATGTGCTCCCAGGATGCTCAGTTCTTCCCTCTGTCCCTGTCCTTGTCTCCAGTATGCTAGGCTTTGCTGGGTAGGGAAGCCTGGAGGCCCGTGTTGCTTCCCAAAGGCTATATGTGATCAGATGTCAGGCTCACAGCAATGGGTCTCTTCCTCCTGGAGCTTGTTTGTTGCAGCCTCATAGACTGCCCCACCCAAACCTCCTTATCAGGAGCCGGGACAGCTCTTAATCTGCAGCTCCCAGGGCCTTGTCTACACTCTCTGGGAGGTGCATTATCATCCAGAAACAGCTGACTAAGGAGCACAGGTCTCCCATGGCTCAGACAGACTGCAACTGTTTACCAACTGGGGAAGCTGGGAGCAGAACTGACTACTGCTCAGTTCTTGGCACAGCAGCCACCTGCAGCTCTGGAGGCAGTTCCTGTCTACAGCCCCTGCACCCCAGCTGGCCAGGGGCACTCTCCATGCCTCCTGACCTTGGTCAGATCTAAAGCAAATAACACATTGCTTGGTCACAGACCCTTTCATGAAAACTGAAGGCCTGTTGGTCTGCTCAGAGCTAAGAGCAGCCTTGCCATCCTGCAGTCTCCGTGGCTTGGAGACGGGTTGGGGATGATGTCCCCTTAACTTCTAGACAAGCTCCCAGGAACTTCAGGTTTTCTACTAAATGAAACACCCATCCCGAGTGGGGCCTATTAGGAAACAAGATAGATGCTGACTTTGTACCAAACAAGAGAAGAGCGCTCTTAGATGGGAGAAAATTCAACCTTAACACTGGGTCCTTACATCCAAAAAAGTAGGTCCTTATACTGAGTGTGTAAGACATTTGTATCAGGAGCTACAAATGAACCTGGGGACCTCCCTTTAAATCACATTTTAACACAAGTGGGTCCCAGCAACCAATTCTATTTATGACACAGGTGAGCGGGCTTCTCTCATCCCCATATTCTGGCTCGCCTACCCTTCCAGCCTATCACGGTCTCCAGGGCTCACCTGCTACCTTGCACACCTGGGTCACTACATGTTTCTTGATGAGGGTCATGGAGAAGTGAAATGAAGCGTGTGTATGAAGGGATCCCATAGTTCATGAGTCAACATGTTTAAATTTAAAAACAGCACCGATGGCCAAGAAATACAAAACAAAAAAACCAGCTCAGGTCAAAAATGCACTTGTGACCTCAGAGGCAACAACTGCAGTCCCGCCATTCTGTCTAATGAGACAAGAACAGAGGGCAGCAGTTCCAGGGAGCTCAGGAGAGCCTGCACCAGGAATTTCTAACAATTCTGCCCCAACCTGGGAAGGGGTGAGTTCCCTGCTCGCCACCCCTCTGTGAGAGGAGAGGCTGTGTCTAACCACCTTTGATGTTTCCAGCGCCCAGAACTTTCTGACCATACACTCTTGCTGAATGGAAAGAGTGTGTACAGCTGAGGCCTAGCAAGGATCCATCAGATGAATCCTCTCACATCTAGCATTTTCACAGAACATGCATCAGAGGGGGACAATATGGAGCTACTTTCTGGAGAAGAGGGGATGCTTGGAAACGCCCTCACCACACCACTTAAGATTTTCCTTTTATCCGACCACAAGCTATAGATTCTCTGAGTGCAACTGAAGACACAGGGGATCTGGATCTGAGAGGACCAAATTAGTGATACGGGGGTTTCACCTTCTCTACGCCACACAACTTCATCTGCTACAGTTTTATTAAAGTAACAAAACAGTGTACATTTGTCCATAAAGCTGTACATTCTTCCATATAAAAACACTATTATACAATGAGTAACCTTTGTCTTTTCTTTCAGAATAGCTTACAAATGCACTACTATTTATTTTCACCTATAATAGGAGAGACAGGCCTGCTCAACAGTCCAGCTCTGGGCATTTCGTTTTTAAAGTGAACGTCAGAAAGAAGAGAGAGATTAAGCATGAGACCACGAGGCTGCTTCTGAAAAGGCAGGACCTGTTTGTGACGTGCAACGGCGAAATCTTCATGGATTCACAGCTTTGTTTCAACCCACAGGCCCGAATGTAAGCTCCTGGGTCTGTGGGGCCCCAAGTCCCCTTTTAAAGCAATTAAGACTGGAATCAGGGTCTGGGGAAAAACAGCTTGGATCTGGAGAGCTGGAAAGGAGGAGGCAGAATAGGCAGGAATGGGTTGGGAGAGTGTTTGGTAAATAGCACCTCTGAGTCAGAATTGAGTAGTTAAAAGACACCCAGGCAAGGGAGGTACAGGGGGGAGGGGATTCTGGGGGTTGGGGCAGAAGATTCCTCACGAAGGGTCAATAGTGGAAGGGTAGCCCGGTTGACCAGATGGCCCAGCAATGTCCTCTCTCTCTCTCTCTCTCTCTCTCTCTCTGTCTCTCTCTCTCGGTGATTCAGGTTTGGGGAAACTCAAGGCCTTCCAAGAACCCCTCACAGATGTCACTGAGAAACCAAAGGTAGTTTTTTCCCATTTTTCTCCAACCCCAAACAGTAAATATTGCACACGTCTACAGACAAATTTGGATTGCACTGAGAGAGACAGCAACCTCTCCCAGAGGCGCTCTGAGCACCAGGGAGAAAAAGCAATGCCCGATGTTTGGTGTTTAGTGTCAGCCCTATAAGAATGCCCAGTAATCTTCCAGAACCTGGGCTTTCTGGGGTCAGCCAAGGGGCACCTGCGAGCTGAGCAGCCAGCCAGTTCCAGGGACAGAGGGAGAGAGGCTCCCTGCCCCCCTGGAGCGCCAGGAGGTCCTGAGGGCCAGTCCTCCACGTCCTCCTGGGACTGGGAGGCCATATTGCACAGTGACTGAGAAAACAGGATCGCTCCGTGGCCCAACCAGAGGGGAGAGAAGCGGGGAGAGTGGGAGAGGAGTGCTATGCTTTTGAAAAGAAGGCAGTCATGAAGGACTTGGAGTTCCCTGTAGCTTTTGAGCCACCTCTCAAAGGGATCGTGGCAGCAGCATTAGCACTTCCTTGTGGATCCAGAAAGAAGGGTTTTGTCAATACCCAGTGGATGCTCTTTGGGTCTTAAAGAAGTCCATTGTAAATCACCCCCGAGCTCTTCAGCACACTCGCACACAGAGCAGCACATTGCAAAGCGAAGGATTTGTGCAAGTACCCTGCCACCCCAGCCCCTGTCTCCTCCAGCCCTGCCTCCCTCCTGTGAACCCCACAAAACACAAAAAGCTTTTGACTCCTGGCTAGGAAGCAACACTACCGACAGGCCCCTGAGGATAGAATTAGAAACAAGGGATGATTCCAAGAAAAGCTGTTTGGGATCACTCTCTGCCCAGAATCTCATCAGAAAAACAAAAAGTGGAGATGAGGCAACATGAGTTTAAGTCCAGGCTTGAATGGCCCTGAGGTCAGGGATGCAGGTGTCCGGATGGGGGAGAGGGCGAGGTCCCATCTCTCTTGTTCACAGCTGCTCACCACGCTTGTTCCCTCTCACATCTTGGGGTGCTAGCCCAGCTTCTCCCACCTCCCCCGCTTGGTCGGGCCCCCCTCCCATCAGCAGACACCGGCCTCCCCAGACTGAAGCCACCACAGTTCTCTCCAAAGGCACCTGGGGAGGCCGCTTCCAAGCAGCACCCTTTAAGGATTTTTTTTTCTTTAAAAAAAAAAAATCTTTACGTGTTTTTTTTCTCCCCTTTTCTTAAAAAAATAATATATATAAATAGCTCTTCATGTAAAACGCAGTTCCCCAGGTTGAGGTATGCCGTGGCCCGCTGTCCCCTCGCGGCGAGTACAGTGGAGTGCGGAGCGGGGGGCCGGGGAGCTAGCTGGAGACGGCCATCACGTAGTTCTTGGGGGGGCTGGTCCTGCCCAGCAGCATTTGGTTCTTGCAGGTGAGGAGCCCGTAGGAGGCTACCAGCGGGGCCTCCTCGTACAGGACGCAGATGGAGCCGTCCTCCCCGATGCGGTAGGACACCTCGTAGGGGTCCACCCACAGGGTGAGCTCGCGGGGCAGCAGCCGGTGCAGCTGGGGCTGGCTGAGTCCGATCTGGCTGGCCACCTTGCTGAGGATGGGGTCCATCTTGTGGTTGATGCGGATGCAGCGGTAGCCGGAGCCCTTGGAAGGCTTCTCCGGGAACCAGTGGTGTTTGTAGTGCTCTGTGGAGACAGGACAAAGGGGAGACCCCTTGGTTAGAGCAGCTGGGCCAGGGGTGCCATGCCTGCAAGGGGTGGGGGGAAGGGAGGGAGAGGAGGAAGGGGTAAAGGAGAGGAAGCCACCCTGTGGTTTCAAGTCAACAAGGTGGTTTGCCATGACTTTCCGTTTCAAACCCAGGAAGACCAGCCTCGGTGGTTGGATCCTCAGCAAACTACTGCGCCTCCCAACCCAGGCCCCAGAGGTTCCCTCTGCCTCCTTCGAAAGTCAGAGGCCCCGGCCATTGGCTGGCTCGGGGGTCCCATAGGGTTGCTTTACTGGAACATGATGCTCCCCAGCGGGCGAGACCTGCGTGGGCACCGTCAGAGCCGTGGGCACGGACACGCCGGCCCGGGAGCTGAGACAGTGAGGGGGACAGGCCTCTCCCCGGCCGGCTGGCCAGCAGCTGCTTATCTCCGGTCCACCTCCCCGGATCGCCAGCACCCGCCGATCACACACTCCCCGGGAGCCAGTAAAGTTCTACAAGGCTCGGTCGGCCCCCAGGTAGGTGGTGGGGGCCTCTGGGGACCGGAGAGTAAATACAAAAGGAGCCCGATTCCAACTTGGAGCGAGTCAACAACCCGCCCCGAGCCGCGCGCGCATGCGCGCGCGCACAGCCGGAAGCAGTGGACTGGCTCTCCGGCCGCCGAGAAGGCTTGAGTGCACCTCCTCTCTCCAAGGGCTCCTCCCCAAAGGTTCCTCTCCCCAGGGACTCCCTCCCCAAATGGTCCTCTCCCCAGGGACTCCCTCCCCAAAGAGTCCTCTCCCCAGGGGCTCCCTCCCCAAAGGGTCCTCTCCCCAGGGGCTCCCTCCCCAAAGGGTCCTCTCCCCAGGGGCTCCCTCCCCAAGGGTCCTCTCCCCAAGGCTCCTCCCCAAAGGGTCCTCTCCCCAGGGGCTCATCCCCAAAGGGTCCTCTCCCAAGGGGCTCCCTCCCCGGTGGCCGGATGGGTCGCCGCAGAGTCCGGGACGTCCGGGAGGGAAATCGGCCCGCACTCGGACCAGCAGGTACCCCTCTTTTCGGGCAAGAGCCGGGGTCAGACACGCACTGGAGGACTAAGAATCTACGCCCGCTCCGTCCCCAAGCACCACCAGGGACCGAGACCTGCGCGCAGGGCCGGGGAGGGAGAGAGACGTGGCCCGGGGCACGGGAGCCTGCGGACCGCCCCGGGCTGGAGGGAAGCCGGGTCTCGAGCGGAGACTCCCCCGGCCGAGGAGAAGGAAGGGCGCCGGGCGGGGGGCTGAGCCCAGCGGCGAGGTGGCGGCCCGGACCCCGCGCTCACCTGCGAGCGCCTCCTGGAGCGCCCCGCTGAACACCTTGAGCCGCTGCTCGCTCACGCAGCCCCGCGTCCGCAGGAGCCCGGACAGGAAACCCACGGCGGCGGCGATCTCGGGGAGCATGAGTGTCCTCTTCCCGGCCCGGCTGCTCTGGCTCATGTGCGCGGCTCCGGCGCGGCGGCGGCGGCGGGGGACTGAGAGGAGAGGGTTCGGGGGTCCCGCAGCTCCTGGGGTGCTCGCTCGTCCGCGGCGGAGGCTCTGCCCAGCGGCACCCGGAGGCGCCTTTTCATCCCCTGCGGAGGGGGCGGGGCAGCCGCGGCCGCGCCCATTGGCCGCCACCAGCGGATGGGGGCGGGGCCGGAGCCGCCCGCCCCCTCCGCGCTGAGGTCACTGCCCGCTGACGTCAGTGCTGGGAACCCGAGCTCCGCGCCCAGGCCGGGGCGGCGCGAGGAGGACCTGGGAGGCCCGGAGGGCCTGGAGGAGGAGAGTGCCCCAGGGAGCGGGGCCCGGGGTTCCCCGACCTTTCCTCTCCGCCCTTCCTGACGTGCTGGAGCCACCTCCTCCAGGAAGCCTTCGCGGATACCCTCTCTCCCAGTAGATCCCCCTTTCGGACGCCCACATTTTTCCAACCACTGGCCAACATCATCTCTCACCCGGACCGTACCCATTTACCGCTTTGTCTCCTTTCTTAACTAATGGAGATGGGTTCCCTCTTTGGCTCTTTGGAAATGGGGACTGCCTTCTGTTTGCGTCCTGCCCTCGAGTCCTGCCTCTAAAGCGGCCTTTTCTCCAGCCTGGGACATGTCCAGGCTCGCCTGTTGGTGGGTGGGTGAGTGGGTGGTTGGGGGGAGCTGGCAAGGTTTTTCTGTCCCCGTGAGCTATTTTCCTAGTTCTGGTTTTCCTTTAAATGCCAACATTTTTTAACAAGGGGTCTGCTCTCAACTGTATGCATATTGCCATCCACACCTCCTTTCTCCTTCCCCACCCCTGGTCCTTCCTCATTGCGGACTGACGCTTTTGTACACAAGGCTCCTCAGGGGACAGAGTCCAGCCTCAGAAGCTCCCTCTTTCACACACAGGTCTGTGCTCAGGGCCTGGCTCTCCTAGACATCTGTGGTGGCTTCTAACCAACATCCCAGGGGCTGGCATACATACATGTGAAATGAGGCAAACCCAGTGGCCTCTGTAAATGCTTGTCCTTGACCTCTGGGCCCTGCTGACCACCTTTTCTGGGGGAAGTCTCCTGTGGGCTTCTCTACCAAGGTCCACGGCTGGCTATGTCTGCCCCGGATGTCTTCCTGCCCTGTCCCCTCAACTTGCACCGTGTCCACCCTTCTCTCTTCCCTTTCCTCTCACCTTCTTTCCTCAGAGAGAGCCTATTCATGTGGCCCGTTTTGATGTTTATTTATTTATTTATTTATTTATTTATTTTACAACCGATTTTCACATCTGCATAGCCCAACATGGTGCCCCTCATCCCGCTCCTCCTCCTACCCGGGCTGACCCTCCCCTTGGATATCCGGCCACCAGCTCCTGGCCATCTCAGCCACTTTTCTTCTCCAGAGCCAGCTCTTCCTGGTCTCCATTGTGTCTGAGACACCATCATATTTCCCGTTACCCCACCCACAAAACGCATTCTTTTTTTTTGGTTTTTCCTGTACTTTGCTCCTCAGACCCAGTCCCTAGACGTGTTGCTTTTTCATATCTAGAGGATTGCAGTGGAATCTGTCAGATCATCCCTCCCACGGTGAGCACAGTCCTGCATTCACTTTCTCTTCCTATGCTCAGGGCATCTGAGATACCCCGCCCCTTTATCTACCTGGACTCCTGTGCCTAATAGGGAAGAAGACCTTTCATACCTTGGCCCCATCTGCCTTTTTAGGTTTTCTTCACTTTATTCTCCAAGGTCACTCTCCTTACTGTTCTCTAAGCGTCACACGAGCTCTGTAGTCCAACAGCCTCAACATTTTGTCCGTGATCCCCATCCCTGCCCTGTATCCCGGCATGCCTGAACATGCCTGCCTTGCTGTACTGTAGCTCATGTCCTAGCCTCTTAGGTTCCTCCCTGCCCCCTTCTCACCCGTCCCGGTCCTCCACACTCCCGAAGGCACCGTTCAGCTTGGTCTCCTACCTTGAACTCCTGCCCTGGCCATTTTCCCACTGCGGAATTCATGTTAGTCGTACCTCCCACACTTGGCATTAATAATCTATTGTTTGGTATTGACGGTGATCATTTTAGAAGTTGACATCTTGCCTCCACAGTTGCAAGCTGCTTGACCCAGGTTCCTATGCTCATACACCCTCCATTTCCAGGACAGTTCAGGCTTCAGGTGCCCTGCTCCATTGCTGCATGCACGCTTGGAATTCTCATGTTTGTCCTCGAACACAGTTCCTAGTTGTCCTCTTTGCCGGCTCCTTCCCAGAGCTGGATCAGGCCAGATGAGACTCTTACCTCTGCTCATTGAGGGGGGAACAGGGCTGGAACTGGATATAAGACGAATAAGAGAGCATCGAACCAAAGAGACCGGTGTCAGCAAGACCAGCACTGACCAAGGTCAGACTCCAAGGAAGTCAGGAAAGCAGCTACAGACAGATGTACAGTATCATTCAGCACCTAAATCTGAAGACACTTAATCTCTTCCTGGTGTGCTGTTGACAGGGATCTGGTGTCTGGGCCTTGCTTTAGTCCAGAATTGACGAAAAAGGTATTTTGACAGGCCATCACCTAACTGTTTGTTTTTTGCCCGAGGAAATAGATCTCTGTCCTTATGTGGATTTTTGTATCACTCCCCAGGTCACACAGCTGGTTCTCAAAAAGCCAGAACTAGGAGCATAGCTGCTGACTTCAAGTTGGACCATGGAGCCCCTATGCTGTTGTTACAATGGCCCAGGGTCCCACGTGGTCCTACAGAGCTGGTTTTCCAGATGGTGATGATGCAATGATGGGGGCGGGATGTGTGTGTGTTAGTGTGCATTTTTTCAACAGGAACAAGCAGACCTTATCCCCACCTTGCCCATTACCCAGGGTGTGTGATAGCTCTATCATTGGTGGCTAGTTCCTGAATTCTGTAGAGAGCATAGATTATCAATAAGAACCAGAAGGCACACCCCCTACTTTCTCAGCCTCTTTCTTTTTCACACAAACCTAGGAAGAGGAAGCTTAATTTATCTCACAAAGTCCCTAAGTCACTAACGGTGTAATTGTAAACAATTCCTAACTTGGGATTTGGGTCTCAAATAAGTTTCTTTTTAAAAAATATATTTTATTGATTTTTTACAGAGAAGAAGGGAGAGGGATACAGAGCAAGAAACATCGATGAGAGAGAAACATCGACCAGCTGCCTCCTGCACACCACCTACGGGGGATGTGCCCTCAACCAAGGTACATGCCCTTGTCCAGAATCGAACCTGGGACCTTTCATTCCGCAGGCAGACGCTCTATCCATTGAGCCAAATTGGTTTCGGCTCAAATAAGTTTCTTATAAGGTCAAATACATTATAGTACAAATTCTTTTTGAAATTTTCTGAAACTGCCCTTCAATTGCTAGGACCAAGATGCTTAAAAGCTCAAAGGTCCAGATTTCACTTCTTTTTGCCTCCTCATTCATCTCTTCCCCTTTCCCCAAGGGGCCATGAGTTGAATTTTGAACATGAAATGTCCCGACACACTGCACTGACCCGTGACTCCATCCATTGCCAGAGGGCAGATAGTGGCATTTGGACATGTGTATGCCTCACCTGGACCAGAAACTTCTGTGCCTGCCACCCCTGCTCCCCTGGTCCTGGATACCCACCTGTAAGGCCCACTGAGTGACCCAAAACATCCCAACTGCCTGCCTCAGACCAAATCCCCACCCAGACGAGTTTCTCTCTCTCCTGAGGAGTCAGCTTTGTCTGTAGGGTCATCACACATGCCTTGCTCTCTTCTCCCGGTCAGGAGCAACAAGAGGCTGTAGGCTACCCTTGTCTTCCCAGAGTCCTGTTTGGCCTGCAGGGCCTTGGCTTGGTTGCCAAGGTTACCTCCCTCTCTCCTGACCTTGTGTAGAAACCTGAGGTGGAGTAAGACCCATGTGCAGGCAGGGGCTGGGCTGAGATATTCTAGGAGGATGACATCAGCTCACTCCTACACGGCAGGGTGTGTAGGTTTGTAGGTGTGTGTGTGTGTGTGTGTGTGTGTGTGTGTGTGTGTGTGTGTGAGAGAGAGAGAGAGAGAGAGAGAGAGAGAGAGAGAGAGACATACAGAGACAGAGAGAAAGAAGTAAATACATGAACAAGCATACATACTTAAGTGTGCCTGCTTGCTCTGACATTGAGGGTAGGAGTGATTGCGAATGTGTGTTTGCAGATGTTAACATGCACTATTATATATTGAAGAACATCACTGTCAAGGGTGGGTATTTGGGTGCGTGTATATTTTGGCGGGGAGAGTACGTTTTGGCAGAGTATGTCTGAGTGTGGTTGGAGCAGATGCTAATTTGACCTTCTTTTCAGACCTTGTTGGTGACAACCTTGCTGGGCTGCCCAGCGCTGATAAGAAACATCACCCAGGGAGGACCAGACACCTCTTCCTCCCTCCCTAATCAGGGTGGGAGGATGGCAGGGTATACTTGTACCTCTTTGCCAGCCTTGTTGGGCCAAGTCCAGGGCATCTTTCAGCGTCCTCTATCATCTCTGCACAAAATTGTGCTTTTCAAGGTTGGCTGTAGGCCAGCCAGTCTAGGACGTTTTCTTCAGTATGAGGAACAGGAATCAAGGACAGAAGAAAATGACATTGTTCCTCAAATCTGTCAATGAAGAGTGTAAGAAAGTAAGGGTATTCGTTATATTACAAATTTCCATCTTTAAGCCCCTTGCCCCACTCCGAAGTGAACTGGGACAGAGGCAGAAATAGACAATGCAAAGATGACTGGGATTAAGGGAAGTGGGAAACCACACACCTGGACGAAAGGAAAACTTGGTAAAATATGAATATGCCAAGGCCTTTCTAATCTTCAGGTCACAATTATATATTTATATTGATTTCAGAGAAGAAGGAAGAGGGAGAGAGAGAGAGAAATATCCATGATGAGAGAGAATCATGGATAGGCTGCCTCTTGCAAGTCCCTCACTGGGGATCGAGCCCACAACCTGTGCATGTGCCCTTGCCCGGAATCAAACCT